ACACATGAGAGTCCACACAGGAGACAAGCCGTTTCCTTGTGAGCTTTGTGGACAAAGATTTAGTCAGAAGACACTTTTAAACTCACACATGAGAATCCACACTGGAGACAAGCCGCTTCCTTGTGAACTTTGTGGACATAGATTTAGTCATAAGGCAAGTTTAAACGGACACATGAGAGTCCACACAGGTGTGGAAACTTTCTAACAGGAAATAATAAAATATGAGATTGACATGAGATGCAACTGGTATCTTTTCACCCAATTTAAAATTTTTTTTTTTTTTTTTTTGTAACAGATATTCTGTGACAGCTTTCAACAAGTTTCCAATCTATGATTTGCTCCTAGTTTCTTAAGAATACTTTAAAAACAAACTAATTAAGCCTTAGATCATAATTTGAACTATAGATGTTGTTTCTAAAATACTGGTTCAGTGGTTGTGCAATATGTGGAGAGAACCAACCAACCAATCAAATTACTTGTTTTTTCAAACAGTCAGACCCCATGAAATGTTATTTGTGTTAATTCCTGAGAGAATTGTGGTTTAATCAGTTAGTTACTTTTTTAATTAACGGGTCTCTCATGCAGATGAACTAATTGTGTTTTAATGAGACTAACCTTATAGTTTTTATAAATTACTACAATGTCATTCCTATAAGCTGAATAATGTTTACATCACGTGTTAACATCAAAATATGGATGAAACAATGTCAGAATTGCCCAGGTTAAACTCCAACTTTACTGTAGTATTAGGCTACTTTTTTACATGAAGCTAAAATTACCTGACACCATCCTGCACCCAACTCAAGTGGAGTTTGTTTGCTCCCAGTGAGTTGCCACAAACTCAAAAACCAGTACAGGATTTGTCCCATGACCTATTAAAGACCCACAAGAGGTCACACAGAACTAAAGTGTTCAGTTCTCAGGTTTGTTGTTAAATAGTCTGTGAGGTGTGGAGGTTTGTGGTCCGTTACCACGGTTACTGTCCACATCTGTAGGTTGTGTATTCTGAATGCTGTTTATGCTTTTGTCAAGGGAAACATGTAAGTGTGTGATACTTCATTATATAATGATCCTTATGTGTGAGCCATCTTATCTTATTCTGTGTCATTTGATCTGAATGGTATGTTATTATAATGCTTTGGTATCACTGTTTGTGGAATGATGGTGTCAGTAACAGCTGGCCAGATGTTTATCATTCCCCTCCACTGTAAGGAACCTTGAGGATGTTTTCTTTTGTGAGACTGTTCTTTATAGTATCTGTCTGAGTTTGGTTCTGTAAACACTAGGACAAGACTAGGATCATAACCAAGGCAGAGCAAGCATTGGGAGTTTTGTGTACTTGTAATGCGTTGACTTTCTGTATTCTGACTGTTCCTCCAAAGCTTTGTGTTATTAGATTTGATGAAATCTACACCTGATTGTTTGAGAATCCGTTTTTTTCTGACATCTTTAATTTTTATTGTATTTGAACCTTATCCCTGTATACCACATTAACTAGGGATGCACCGATCCACTTTTTTCCCACTTCCGATACTGATACTTGTGTTGACGATGCCGATCCGCTGCTGATCTGATGCAGAAAGACAGTGCTGAATTAACAAAAATAGCTAAATCATGTCCAGATGACGATTTAGACATTTTTGCTGTTGTCTACCTGGATGGTAGAGCTTACAATCCAGTGCTGAATTAACTTCAAACATTTGTTTTTTTTAAGCGCAGACATGAATGTACTGAATTACATATTTATTGAAAACTGCACCAGAGCAGCACACTTAAACACAACAAGATCTTCACAAGCTTGGTCAAACATGTAAAAACAACACAACTTTAATTTGTTCAGTCAGTACACTAGAGCGTGACGTCACTCAGAGCACAAAGCATAGAACTAGAGTGAAAAGATCTGTTTAGTCATGGATTGGTCACATTGTCACCGGTACCCGATCCAGAAGTTTTTTCCGATATCTATACTGATATTGGTATCGGATCAGTGCATCTCTAAAATTAACCTTCCAAGGTAAAAGTTTACTTTATCTTAACCAGCAGTGTGTCCCCTACCATTTTACAAACAGGGCGCCCTGCCCCGTCAACAGAACCAAGCACCCCATCTACCGACCCCCCCCCCCCCCCCCCCCCCCCCCCAAAACCACCTGTCAGCACTGATGTAACGCTAAACTGGCGGCTCGCAATACAGGTGCACAATTTAAAAAACTAAAGGCAGCCTCTTCCCTCGTACTGAACCCACATGCTGAACACCCTCCCCCCCGAACTCTAAAACTGACGGTACAAACAACACACGGCGAGATGAGAGCCCTGCTATGGCAAGTTATTTAGGGGAAACACTGACCAGTGGTTTTTACTTAGTTTATGTGTGTACATATCCCTGATTTATCTTTGTTCTTTTACATTAAAATGGAGAAAAAGCACTACTCAAAATCCACCACAGACCTCGTCAGTAGTTGCAGCTTTTATCTGAATGATACAAATTGAAAGGGTAACTGTGCTGTTGCAGACAAATAACTGTTGGAAATCATAATCAAAGTGTTGTCACCTTGATACACTTTATTTTCTGACAATAGTCTGATGTCTTAATTATTTTTTTTCATATGTTATTGTAATTAAAATGTTATGTTTTTCATTAGTGACAATAGTTATTTTACATTTTATTAGTTGGTGTAGTAATAAAATGAAAGCAGATTTAAAATTTTTTCAATGAAACAGTTATCCAAAAAAATACATTTTTATTGTTTTGCAGGCTTTAAAATAACAACAACCTCTTTCTCAATAATGACATACCAATCTGATAAAATGCTTCATTAACTAATATTAAACATCTACACTTTTAGACAACATTGTTGTTTAGTTTGTCTCTGTTTTCTAAACTGAACATGTTCCTGCATAAAAACGGTGACAAACTAAACTAGTGGTGTCGTGCAAATGTGTCGATTTATTACAAACCGGATTCCAAAAAAGTTGGGACACTAAACAAATTGTGAATAAAAACTGAATGCAATGATGTGGAGATGGCAAATGTCAATTTTTTATTCGTAATATAACATAGATGACAGATCAATAGTTTAATCTGAGTAAATGTAACATTTTAAAGGAAAAATATGTTGATTCAAAATTTCACAGTGTCAACAAATCCCAAAAAAGTTGGGACAAGTAGCAATAAGTGGCTGGAAAAAGGAAATTGAGCATATAACGAACAGCTGGAAGACCAATTAACACTAATTAGGTCAATTGACAACATGATTGGGTGTAAAAAGAGCTTCTCAGAGTGTCAGTGTCTCTCAGAAGCCAAGATGGTAAGAGGATCACCAATTCCACCATTGTTGCGCAGAATGATAGTGCAGCAATACCAGAATGGTGTTATCCAGCGTAAAATAGCATAGACATTTAAGTTACCATCATCAACCGTGCATAACATCATCAAAAGATTCAGAGAATCTGGAACAATCGCTGTGCGTAAGGGTCAAGGCCGTAAAACTCTACTGGATGCTCGTGATCTCCGGGTCCTTAAACGTCACTGCACCTCAAACAGGAATGCCACTGTCAAGGAAATAACAGAATGGGCTCAGGAATACTTCCAGAAAGCATTGTCAGTGAACACAATCCACCGTGCCATCCGCCGTTGCCAGCTGAAACTCTACAGTGCAAAGAGGAAGCCATTTCTAAGCAAGCTGCACAAGCTCAGATGTTTGTACTGGGCCAGAGGTCATTTAAAATGGAGTGTGGCAAAATGGAAGACTGTTCTGTGGTCAGATGAGTCACAATTTAAGTTCTTTATGGAACACTGGGACGCCATGTCATCCGGACCAGAGAGGACAAGGATAGCCCAAGTTGTTATCAACGCTCCGTTCAGAAGCCTGCATCACTGATGGTATGGGGTTGCATGTGGCTTGTGGCATGGGCAGCTTGCATGTCTGGAAAGGCACCATTAATGCAGAGAACTATGTTCAGGTTCTAGAACAACATATGCGCCTATCTAGACGTCATCTCTTTCAGGGAAGACCCTGCATTTTTCAACACGATAATAATGCCAGACCACATTCTGCTGCAATCACAACATCATGGCTACGTAGGAGAAAGATCCGGGTACTGAAATGGCCAGCCTGCAGTCCAGATCTTTCACCTATAGAGAACATTTGGCGCATCATAAAGAGGAAGGTGCGACAAAGAAGGCGCAAGACTATTGAACAGTTAGAGGCCTGTATTAGACATGAACGGGAGAGCATTCCTATTTCTAAACTTGAGAAACTTGTGTCCTCTGTCCCCAGACGTCTGTTGAGTGTTGTAAGAAGAAGGGGGGATGCCACACAGTGGTAAAAATGGACTTGTCCCAACTTTTTTGGGATTTGTTGATGCCATGAAATTTGGAAACAACAGATTTTTCCCTTAAAATGATACATTCTCTCAGTTTAAACTTTTGATC